CTGTTCTCCTCTGAACTCCATGCCGGGCCCACAGTATCTCTCCCAGGACACCAGGCGAGCCACAGGGATCTTCTGTTCCACGGTCTTTCTGCTCCAGACAAAGATCGATGTTTCCAGCCAAAACAGAAAGGGGATCCTGACTGTCAGTGCATGTGTGCGAGCGTGCCTTAGGCGCACAGGGCCCCTGGGAATGTTCCGGAACCCAAGGACGTGACATGGACGTGTGCAGCTGCCGTCAGCCGGGAAGTCGCCTCTGCTTACCTGCTGTGCCAGCTGGGGCTCCTTGGGCCAAGCGGTAAGGGCCCGGAGTGTGGGCCCCCTCCAGCCGCCCTCACCGGGCACTGCCAATCTCTGAGAGCACGTGTCAGCAGAATTCCATCCGGCCCCCCAGCGCCTGTCATCGGCCCCCGCCGCCCACCAGAACTGCACTCTGAGGCCTGCGGTGCCCCCCGCACCCGGACGTTGTGACCCGCGTTACCCCACGGCTTCGTCCCATGCCAGGCGGGCTCTCTACCCCCAGAGCCCTGACTATGGCCAGCTGGCTTCCTCATCTTGGGGAAGCTTCCAGAATGCTGTCTCCTGTGGTTGCCCCGAGTCTCACAGTCTGCACAGTTCCGTCTGTCCGTCCCTATGAGCCTCCGAGCTGTCCTACCCAAGGCGGACCACCGGCTGGGCGAGTGGCCTCCGCGCCGCGTCTCGCTAGAACCCCAGCAGCACAGCCCCCCTTCTCCTCCCGCACCCGGGCCCCCGGCCCCGCGGAACCGGCCAAAGTGGGCTCCGCAGGAGGCTCCACGGGTACCAGAGAGGCTGCGCACCCATGTGCCCCAGCATCCCTCCTCCTCCTCAACTCCACCTCTGCCTGCCTTCCTGACGCCCCAGGGTACACACTCTTCAGCCTCACGGGGTGCAGGCCCCGAGCCCCACAGCCCGCCTGGCAGCTGTCTTCTCTGTCCCCTGCAGGGGTTCACCGGGCTGCCATCATGCCCTCCCACCCCCACGATGCACGCTGGGTCCCCGAGCTGCGGGCAGAGAGCACACCCCACCCCAGAGCTGGAGCGCCCGGGGCCCTGGGCGGCCCCACTCGGCTCTCCTGTCCCCAGAAGGGCCTCTGCTGAGGCTCCGCCAGGGACCCCACCTTGCACCCCCCCTCAGCCCCGCGGAGGCCCGTCTCCTAGCGGCCAGGGAAGGGACCCGGCTCAGACAGGAGCCTCCAGCTTCTGGCTCCCCGCCCCCGCCCCCTCTGGCTCCGGGCCCTGCATTCTGGGCCCTGTCCTCTCCCCGCTGTCAGCTGCACCATCTTCCACTTCCCCTGCATCTGCCCTCAGGGACAGTAAACGCCGAACCTCTTCCCCCCAGGGGCCAACAGACAAGACCCCAGCTAGTCCTCTGGGCACTGTGTCCCCTCCTGCCTTCCACTCTCTCTCCCCTTCCCTAACCCCCGTGCTTTTTGAAAGAAGCATCTCTGCTTCCTGTTTCACTCCTTCCATTCTGAACTCGACCCCCTGTAGCCCGCTTCCAGACCCCCCCCCCACCTCCAGGAGCAGCTGCAGCTTTAGTCACCAACACTGTCTTGCCGCTCACTCTAGGGGACATTTGGTGGCCCTTGCCTCCAGGAGCCTCTTGGAGCAGTTGGTTCTGTTGGCCCGTCCCTCCTTTTGTGCAACACGGTGCCCACCGGCTGCTAGGAGGACGTCACGCCCTGGTTTCTCTCCCACTTCTTTTGGCCCTCCCCTGCTCCGTCTGCCCCTCGACACCGAGATTCTCTACCGGGGCCTTCTGCGCTTCTCGAGCTGTGTCCTGTCCCTGGGCATCTCGGGCACACTCAGGTCTTCACCTGCCCCCTGCACGTGGATGACCCCACGCCCATCTCAGCTCAGACCTCTCCCCCGAACTCCAGGACCGCACTGCCCCCTGGGTCCTGGATGCCCCAGACAACGCAGACCCGGCACTTCCCAAATAGACCTGGCCTCCTGCCCCTGAGCCCCCCGTAGCAGCAAGTGAGACGCAAGTTCACAACCCAGACCGTGGGAGTCAGCCCCGGCTCCCGTCCCCACTTGCCCTCCCCTGCAGGTACGGCGGGTCACATGACTGTACACGGGGAATCACCTGGAGAGCTTGCCCAACACAGCTTCCGGGGCCCTACCCCTGACTTAACTGAATCCAAATCTCCAGGGCTGGGGCCTGGGGATCTGCATTTCTAGAAGGCTCCTCCCCACCGTGCCTCTGCGATGGCTGGCATTCAGCAACCCTGGTTCTTCCCGCGCTGCTTGCCTACACTGGGCGTCAGCTCCCTCCCGGCATCTCCTGCCTCACCACCTTCAGACTATGCACTCCAGCCACGCGGAGAGACACGGGTCCAAGTACACGCAGGGTTTGATAGCTCCTGTCTTTCCACACGTGGTTCTTTCTGATCACAACCCCCTTGGACGGGCTCCCAGTCTCAACCCAGGCCAGACTAACTGCCTGCCCCTCGGGTGAGTGATTACAGGCGTGGTAGGCTCTCCTGGTCAGACAGTAGACCCTCAAGACAGGACCTGGATCTTCAGTGGACACTCCCCCCAGCGCTGAGCCCAGTTCCCAGCTCAGAGAGGTGGTGAATAAGAGAATAAAGCGGGAGAAGGAAGGAGGGATGGCAGCGGGCCTCAGAGGATGTCTACCCAGCCGGGCCCTTCCATGGATCCTGAGGTTGGGTCCACAGAAGCACCGTGATGGTGGTGTCCTTGCTGCCCTCTTCGCTCTGGGTTCCCCCTGTACGTAGCCAGGCCGGTGGCGGGTGCTTGCCCTCCCCTCCATGTGTCCCCCAATGAGGTCTGGGGCTTCTAAGAAGTCCTGGCCACCTCCAAGTGTCATGAGTGAGCACAGTAGGCTTGCAAGGACCCGAGGACCTCCTCAGGCGCTGATGTGGAAGTGGCCGTGCCCTCCCCGTTCCTGGACCCTGCTCCCACGCTTGACGTGCGCCTGGACAATGCCCGCTTGTCTTCCTGTCAGGGCAGCCCTGGCTGGAGGGTCGACCGCCTTCACCTGCCCCTCTGGCCCCATCCCTCTGGTTCTTTTACCGTGACTCCCCCCGCCCTTCTCCTTCCCCCCTTTGCCCACCTGCTGCAAGACCTGCCAGTCACTCGGACGCCCTATCCACAGCCCTCTGACTATTCTCACGGGCTGTCCCCACGGTCCTGACTCCCCACTCTGCTGACCTGCAGCCCCTCCCCAGCCCCAGTCTTAAGATGGCAGAAGCCTTGCTGGGGAGCAGTGTTGGTTGTGGGGGAGGCTTGCATTAGCTGGATGGCAACCCTGTTTTGCCCCCTCACTGGAGAGATGCCTGACCTTCTGTGAAGTGAGTCTGATTCTGTAGCAGGCCTACCTCCTGCCTCCCACACTCACGATCAGCTACATAATTTGTGGATCCCCCTGCAAAATGAAAATGCAGATGCATTGTTGCAAAATGATTAAGAATTTCAAGACGGCAAGAGCAGAGCATGGAACCAACCACCAGGCCCCTCTGTGAACGTGGGCCTATGGGACTGCTCAGGTCTCACACCGATAAGGCCAGCCCTGCCCACATCTCTTTCCAGCTGGAGACGGTCTCTCCCCCCTCTCTTATCCTCAGCTGCTTTCTAAAACAGCTCCTCAGGGCCCCCCGGGCAGGAGCCCAGCCCCAGCCCCCTCCCGACGCCCAGAGCCCTGTTCAGCAGGCTGTCAGCATGGATTCCTGCAGCCCTGTGGGGGTCTTCCCCCCACACGCCCTCTGGCTGCAGAGCGCTCATATCCTTCTCAAATCAATACTTATTTATTGAGCCCCACCTGGCTGAGCTCGAGCAAGAGAAGACATGTTGATGAATACTCAGTCATTGCCCTGTAGGAGCTCAGTTTACAGCAGGATTAATACTTAAGCAAGAGCAAAACCAAACACAGACTCTGCGGGTTCAGAGAAAAATAATCATATTTGATTGGGAAACTGAGTATCACAAAAGAGACAGCATGAAGATGGACAGGAGAGGAGAGGGGCATTCCCAGGAGAGGGCACAGCATGGGCAGAGGCTGCAGGTGGGAAGATGCATGGCTGACTCTAGAATCCTGAGTTGTGCAGTTTGGCTAAGGTAGAGGGATGATGGCACCGTGGACAGGGACCGGAAGGAAAACTTGGGGTCAGCCCTGGAGGCTCACAGGGAAGTGTGTGTACCCTCTTGCTGGAGACACCGAAGGAGGGCTTTAAGCATAGTGCACACTTGGGAGCAGTGGGAGAAGGAAGGAGACCTCCTTTGCCGAGTGCGGAGCCACACTTCTCCGCAGAACGGGCTGTTCCGAGCCCGGGTTCCAGCCCTGGTGCCCGCAGTCCGGAAGCGCTGAGGCCTGGGCAAACCCCTGCCCCGCGCAGGCGGAGGGCCAACCATCCCGCGCGCCCCTTGGTTCGTAGCAGGGCCCAGGCGGGGGTCATGGGGATGGGGCTTTCCCGCCACTCGCTCACATTGGCCCTGCGCCAGTGTGTGTGTGGGGGTGGGGTGGGGGTGCGGAATAGGATCCCTCACTGGGGTGGGGGTAAACCGGCCGCGCACGCCCAGAACGCACTACCCGGAGTGGGGAGAGCGCGGCTCCCAACACTGACCGGCCCACCACCCGCTGTATTTTAACTTTCTATTATAGTTCTTCTCAAACATGCACCAAAGTAGAGAGAACGGTGCAGAGCCTCCCCACGTCCCCACCGCCCCGCTGCCACAATTGTCCCCTCCGGGCCAGTGCCCGATCGCCTGACCCTCCCCCAGTGCCCACCCCCAGCTGTAGAAGAGCGGGCGCCCGGCGCGCGGCACCGAGGCTGGGGTACCGACCGCGGAGGGGGGCACGGCGGGCGGGGAGCGGGGCTCGCGGGTAGGGCCGCGGGGGGCGGGGGCGGGGGCGGGGCGAGGGGCGGGGCGGGGCGGGGCGGGGGGCGCCCTCCCAGGGACTCTGGGCGCACGGGCTGGGGGCCGAGCGTCAGTCTCCGCCCTGCAGCCCGGAGGGAGCCCGCCGCGCCGCCGCTCTCCGCGCCCGTCAGTCCGCCCGCAGCCCGCCGCAGCCCGCCGCAGCCCGCCGCCTCGCCATGCCCAACTTCGCCGGCACCTGGAAGATGCGCAGCAGCGAGAATTTCGACGAGCTCCTCAAGGCGCTAGGTAAGCTGGCGCGGTCGGTGCGCGCCTACGAGGAGGAGCGGCCCCGAGACGCCCCGGGCCCGCAGGGGTGGGTTCCGGGACCAGCCCAGGCGGGAGGGAGTCCCCGGGACGAGGGCGAGGGGAGCGATCCGAGGCCGCCCCGGCAGGAGCGGCGAGTGGAGCCCGGGAGCCGCGCGCCCCGCGAACGTTTGCTGGAGGCTTGGCGCCTTCCCCGACGGACGGTTCGGCCTCGTCTCGTGCTGGATCAGCGCGAGGGGAGGTTCTCGCTGGAGTCCAAGGAGGATCAGGGACTTTAAATTTGGAGACTCGTTGTGAGGCCAGGCCCTGCCACGAATTCACCGTGCTGCGCAGGGAGAGCCGCTTACCCTCCCTGAGCCTGTGTTTCCTCTGGAAAGTTGGGGCGAGGGTTGGGGGAAGCGGGTGTATTGAGGTCCCCATCTATAGGCAGAGGGTTTGGGAAGTGCCGGGCGGGCGCTGCGAGCAAGCCCGCGGCGCCGCCCTCCTTACCCGCGCAGGTGTGAACGCCATGCTGAGGAAAGTGGCGGTGGCGGCTGCGTCCAAGCCGCACGTGGAGATCCGCCAGGACGGGGATCAGTTCTACATCAAGACATCCACCACGGTGCGCACCACCGAGATCAACTTTAAGGTCGGAGAAGGCTTCGAGGAGGAGACCGTGGACGGACGCAAGTGCAGGGTGAGGCCCCAGAGGCGGGCGGCGTTCCGGGGTCCCCTCCTCTGAGCCCCGGACCGCCGCGGCCCGACGCGCCCTGCCTGCCTTTGCGGCCGGTAGCGCGCTTTCCCTGCAAGGCCGTGCACTGGCGGTTTGCAGAGAGCATTCGTGCGAGCGGGTTGCCCTGGGCTCGGGAGAAGGTCCTCCCCAGTCCGCCCCCACCCCACCCCACCCCACCCCAAGCCGCCTCCACCCCACCCCAAGCCGCCTCCTCCGCGCTGCGCCTGGAGGGGCGGGGGGGGGGGGCCCGGGCGGCGGCGTCCGCAGTGCGGGCGGCTGCGGGGCTGCGGGGAGGGGGGCGGCTGGGGGGCTGCGGGGGACTGGGCCGCCGCCACGTCTCCTGTCGCAGGTGGAACGGCAGCTCTCGCTTCCCCCCACCCCCAGGTCCCCGGGTGCCCCATGGGACGCCCTGGATCCAGTTTCAGCGGTCTTGTGGGCCAGCACCTCTCCCTCCGGCCCTCAGCCTGGTTTCTTGAAGGAAAGGCGGAGTCCTTCCCTAAGCAAGGCCGATTCTGGCTGGGGAAATGGGCCAAGTGCTCTCTTAGTCCTCAAGGGCAAGAGTTTGTATTTGTGCGGCGGTTGGCCCTCGGGATGAACAGTGGACTGAAGCCAGCGGCAGTACATGCCTGTTTGCCGAAGGCAAAAATCGCATTTGGTTGAATAGAATGAAGGGTCGGTTAGTGTGTATTCTGAGGGCAGATGGAAAATTGTCACTGCTGCAATATTTAAAAGGCGACAAAATGTCTCCCTCCCTTTCCCCGGCATTCAAAACAAAGAAACACGGATAAGGTTCCAGAAAGTGAGAAATTGAGTCTCCCGTTTCCTGAGGGGTGCCTGTCTGATCTGCAGAGTTGGATGCTCTGGACACAGAGACACGGCCGCAGGGGTGGACCCACATGGCCGTGTTTGGCGCACAGAATTGGCACAGCCAGAAAATGATGTCCAGGCTTGCAGAGGGCAGGGTCTGAGCCCCACTGCACTGTTTGTAAAAACAAGAGTGACTGGGAGTCACAGGGAGCTGGCCTAGTCAGCGGCAGGGCTCAGCTGGGGACATCCAGCGGTGGCCACTGCCAGAGACCACGGCTCTGATAAAAAATCAGAGGTTCATGCAACAGCCTGGCACGTGTCAGTTAGAAAGCAAGTATGTGCGTGCTCCGCGTCGGCTCCCCCACCCGGCTGGGGAGCACTGTGCTTTGTGCCGCCTCCCACGTCCAGGAGCATGAAGACGGTTGATTTGTTTTGTGTTTGAATGTTTTCCAGAGGGCCGTATCCTGGAAGGTGGTAGTGTTTTTGTCCTCAGAGCCAGAGATGCTCAGGTTTGTCAGAACAGTCTGTACACACGGAAAGGAAGGGGTTATCCCAAAATACCGTGCAGTGGAGAGGGCTCCTATCGCTGACTACAGTGTGGTTATAAATATGATGTCTTAGCGGTTCCAGCGTGGTATAGTTCTGATGGGAAGGGTCTTGTCCTTGATATCGTAGTCGCTTGAAGGGATAGTCCATTTCGACATAAATGAATCACTGCATGCTCTGAATTTTATTCTTGGAGATGAGAAGCATGCCCAAAGCTCTGCTGGTTCGGAGAGTGTGTGTGCGCGCGTGGGGAGGGGGGAGCTGTGGGGGGACTCGAGGTATATTTATTCCGCATAAACCCGTGGCCGGCCCTCCGAATCTGGACTCCATAGGGCACCGCAGAGGCTTCTGTGCCCCGCTGACAGGGACCATGTGTTGCTTCTCTCCACGGCTGAGACCCTCCCGTGCGCACTGTTGTCTCCGCTCCTGCTGCCAAGACCGTAATTAATATCACTAATGGTTTTCCTGCCCGCAGAGTTTGGCCACTTGGGAGAATGAGAACAAGATCCACTGCACACAGACTCTCCTCGAGGGGGATGGCCCCAAAACCTACTGGACCCGTGAGCTGGCCAACGACGAGCTCATCCTGGTGAGGTCCTGGGCCTCTGAATCAAGCCCACAGTCCCCAGATGGTGCCGTCCTCCCTCACCCAGAGAGCAGGACCCCGTTGGCCCTGCATTAAAATTTGAGCGGAAAGCTGGAGGTGACAGTGGAGATCACAGGCATTCATCGTTCCGTGGTTGGGAGGAGCAGGGCTGTGACAGGCGGTAGCGTCCCCACTGTGCGTCCCCGTGGCGGCTCCGTGGCAGCTTGAGCTGGCCTCCCTTCCCACTGGGCCAGAGTGCATGGGCTCCGGGAGGCCCCAGGGGTTTTCACTCTGCAAAGGGATTTTTTTCCCCTTCTCGTTCCCCATTTTGCTACCAGGGAAAGATTTCAGGAATTTTAGTGCGTCAGCACTGGGAGCCTCAGAGAGCATTTTTACCGCTAGACTTACCAACTGCAGTGGCCTTCAGGAGCCAGGCAAGTCCTGTGGCTGCCGGAAGGCTCTGCATGTCCCGTGGTGTGGGGCTGGGGCCTTAGAACAGGGAAGGGTGGGCTCTCCCTTTAAGGCACTCAGATTAAAACATTTTAAACAATCCCGGCCACACAAACTTTACCTGGTGAGGCCAGTTTAGAAACCCCCACGGTTTAATCACACACTGCCTCGTCCTTGATTTTAGGTGTTGGGGGCAGAGGACGTCGGGGAGGACAGGGAAGGCCCAGTCACTCTTCCTTTGTAGTTCAGAATAGACCAGGCTTTCCCTGCCACAACCTCGCCCCCCGCCACACACACGTGCGCACATTCTCACGCATGCACACTCTCATGCGCACACACGCACGCACACATACACACGCACACACGCGAGGAAAGGGAAAAGCTGTGTAGGTAACCTGGAAATGATATCCTTTGTTCTCCATGAGGCATGTTACCATCTCCCCTTTAAGACCGCCCGCCTGCCCCATCTTAGCCAACGGCACCCTGCAGCACTGAGGAGGGAGTGGGACGTGGGTCGGCCATGCGGTGCGATCTGGGCGTGGCCCTTCCCTTCCCAGGCTGTGGACTGAGGGCTGCCGCTGAAGTCTGATCCCCGGGTGGGTTGCTCTCAGCCCTGAAATTGCATGTTGATCCTGTGAACAGACCCTGCACGGAGCGGTCTCTGTTACTTCAGCTGAGGCCGCTTGTCCTTCCTGGCCCTGATTCCCAGTCCTGTCTGGTTTCATTGAGAAGGGACTAGCTTCCTTTGCAACCTGATGAATGCCGTTTCCAGGGAAGGACTACTTGATGGGGTTGGAGGAGCATTTTGAGGCTGAGACATGGAATTTAGGAGAAAAAAGAACAAAAGGTTCGCTGGTACCAGAGTCAGCAAAGCTCTTAGTTCTGGAGCGTGGCTGAGGGTCGAGCAGGCTCGGTTTGCTCCGTGAGAAAGTGTGATTTCATTAACCTTGTAATCCCCGAGCAACCAGAGCCCATTCTGCTGCGAGGACTGCACGACTTCCAACACCGCGCCCCCCCCCCCGCCCCCCCGCTCCACCCGTGCATCCCTCCTTGGCTCAGCCGACCAGACAAGCCTCACAGGGAGCATTAATTCTTGGCATTTGAGACTTGATCTATGGGCTTTTGTTTCAAGGGTTGTTATCATTAATAAATCCAAAACGCAGGGAGATGATATCTCCTTATAACAAGAGGCAAATTATCCTAGTTAAGTTGAAATAAGCTCTCCCAGGGCCAACAGTAAATGGTCCCCCGGGGGCTGTAAGTTGCCTTCTGTGAAAACGGAGGGTCTTCCCTCAAACCGCTCTGGAACAGTCTGGAGTTTCTTTCAGGAATCTTTCTGCATGGGTGCTGGCTGAGAAGGACGTTTCAGATCTGGTTGGAAATGGGATTTCTTCTTGTATCTGGAAGCTGCTTGTCGGCCTGGGGGCCTGGGGGAGGCGTCAGATATGAGGGTGGTTACAGTGCATGGGAAAAGTCCAACCCCACACACTCCATGTCCCTAGAGCTGAGAGGTCAGCACTCCTAGAGGTGAATTTCAGTGGGAACACCTGCCCCCCTGCCCTCCTCCTCCTGGGGCAGCATCTCCTGCAGACCGAGGTGTCCAGAGCAGTTACAGCTGCGCCTGTGTGACCAGGAGCCCCCCCTTGGAAAAGCTGCTGATGGCTGTGTGCTTCCTGGTGTCACTCATGACTAGTGTTTCCCTGAGACACAGGTTGGGATGTCCTAGCACGCGCTCCGAGAGCCTCTCTCGGCCAGCCGACGGGGCAGGAAGCTGAAGGTCCAGGTCTAGCCAGGCTCTCAGCCTCTCCCGGGCCTCAAACCCCTTTGAGAATCTGAGAGCGAGGGGCGCTCCTGCAGAAAAGCGTACATCGGCAGATGTGCCCACATCGGGGCTGTAGACTGGAGGATTTCTGATGTTTGGTTTTGTGTGTGAAACAAACATATTGCTTTCCCTGTTCCAACTGCATGTAAGTGCCCAGGAGAGCAGGCCCTTGAGTAATTGCTAGTTTGGGGGAGAGTTAAGATAGTTTACTCAGAGGCGATCCCACTTAAGGGGCCAGAAGAAAATCCTCCATCTGGGGAATGGTCTGTGCCCACCGCACAGCCAACAGACACACAAACAAAGAGCCACAGAATTTTAGCTGGAAAGAGCCTTGGGGATCAACCTGTTCCACTCCAGCCCTGACACCCCCTCCCTTCCACTCCACACCAGCAAAAGAGGAAGCGCCGTGCCCCCTTCCCCCCACCGTGGGCTGCAGAGCTGGGTCCAGGACGGTGCTGTGCCTTTGCAGCTCAGACCCGTTTTCCAACTTGAGGGCGGGCAGCCTCCCTCTCCAACGCCGCCCCGTCTGGCTGGTCAGCGCACGACCCCTGAGCTCCGGCTGCCCAGGCCCCATGCCCTCCTGAAGTCATTTGAAGAGACAGAACCACCTCAGAAATGTCCAATGTGACATCTCCCCCTTTCAGTTTAATTTTTCAAACCAAGCATTTCCCCTGTCAGCATTCATGGGATCCAGAAACAAAGGAAAATTGCATATAATTCTACACCCCAGTTGCTCTCTGCCTGTATGGAGCTTAAGGGAGAAAAAAAGAAGAAGAAAAAAAGACTTTAGCAGTTAGTGTGAGCATGTGGCACAGGAAATTGAACGTCGGTTACAAAGGGTTTTTAACAGGGCAGTAAGTGGCCTTATTAGTGATATGTTTTAAACATATTTGCACAGGCATCTGCTCTGATTGTTTTTCCTTCTCTGCAGACGTTCGGCGCCGATGACGTGGTCTGCACGAGGATTTATGTTCGGGAGTGAAGGCGGCCAGCTTGCTCCTATTTTGGGGGTGGGATGCATGTTCCCCTGAGAAATGGCATAGGTCTGAGCTGCCAGCGGACCCCCCCTTACCCCATAGCAACGTTAGGTGACCCCATTTCCCCCGTGATGGTGTTGTAGTGTTTCCCCCCAAGGCCTCTGTACCCCTGAGTCCCTGGTGCTCCGTAGTTTGGCATCTGCATGGTTTTGCCTGTCATTAAACTGGTTGGCCGCATTGCAAGGCTTTTCCTTTCTTTGAGCTGACTCTTCAGTTGCAGCCTGGGGTTATCACGTACCTGCTGTCCTTAGCACTGCGCTGGGTTATGTAGTGTCTTCAGCTGCAGCCTGCTGCCTAGGACCCCTGCTTGGAGCCTCCAGCAGGGGTGGCAAACCGGGCTCCCTCCAGCTGGATCCAGATTGCAGAGCTAGGTGTGTTTGGGCCTCACAGTGTTGTTTCCGAATGGAATTAGTCTGTGTAGTGGTGGCTCCTAGCAGGAAAAGGAGGGCACATTCAGAAGGTTAATTGAGGGGAGGCCAGAATAAAGGGACTATTTACACAGGCACTTACAGGGACAGGATGAAGCGAATCGGCGAAGGATGGGGCGCCCCTCGGACCAGCAACACGGGAGCTATTGCTCCCCTATGCCTGCAGACAGAAGGGACAGAGGGCTCACCAGACAAGAAGAGCTATAGCCTGGGAGGGAGGCCACCATGCAGGAGCTGTGGCAGGAAGGTAGCCACTGTCCACACCATGGCCCCAGTGCACCTGGGGGTGGTGGTGGGCATGGAGGTGGAGTTTGGTGTGGAACTGCGGGGTTAAGTATCCTGACCGCCCAGCTTTCGATCTCTGATCTACCTGTGCTGCGCACTGGCCAAACCCAAGTGGAACGTAGCGGGCAGGGAGTCACCCTCCCCGGACATAGCCAGGTGCAGGTTGGATCTGAACATGTAAATCCACAGTTGCCAACTCTTACATTTTAAAATCAGGAGATTTCACACGAAAGTCTGGATTTCTGTTTCTTTAGGAGAAAAACGGGAAAATCCCTGAACCGGCATTCCCACAGGGTTAGCGGCTGACAGCTTCCCCCCTTTGAGGTGGATCTTGCCACTGTCCCTGTCCTCATTTACACTGTTCCCTGGCTTCGCGGCCACCTCTCCTTGCTCTCCTAGGCACACGGGCTCTCGGCAAAGCCAGGCTACAGTTAGCTGAGCGGCGATGTGCAGGCACGGCTGAGGTCAGGAGAAGGTGAGCCTCCAAGAGCTCACATTCTCGTGGGCATCTAAGGCCCAGGCGCCACTCCCTGAGTGTAAATGAGGACACATGTACCTAAATCCTCACGCCTCTGAAGTCCAGGACCCCACTTTGCTCTTGAGGGCCCTCAGCCCTTCCCAAATACTCTGCTGCGTATCTGCAACTGTGGGGAGGGTCTCCTGCTGAATCTGGAATGCAGCCTGCTTGTTGGGGCTCTGTGGACTGCCTCTGTCCTGCTGCCCCCCACGAAAGCGCCAACGGCTCTATTGACAGCCCCGTTTCTCATTCCCAAAGCCACGGGGCCCTGACCTATCAGAGCAGGGCTGGATTATGGGTCAGAGTAGAAGAAAGCCTGACACTGGGCTATACACACTACCCAGGACCCCGAGTGACCTCTGCTGGTCCCCAGAACTTCTCCAAGCCCTTTGTGAAAACACCCCAGTGCCACTAGGACACTGGGTACAGACACTGGGACGTTCCTTCCATTTTGCTCTTTGCTAGAAACCGCCAAGTGCATGCACAGTACCCTACACTGCAGCTTCATATGGCAGAGAGCCAGGGCTAGATGCCCCCCCGCAGGAGGGGGGTTGCGTGGGACTGCAAGGGTGGGAGCAGCTGGATTGGTATGCAGTGGAGAGGGGGCAACGGGGAGGCCCAGCCTGCATGCAAGTATGCTAGACCTGATGCAAGAGAAGGGACCAGGCTGGCCACAAAAGAGAAGGTGTGAAAGGCAGGTCGTGCTACAGGGACAGGGCTGGCATGCCTGGACTCCACCCACGGGTGCTGGGGGCTCCTCACGGCGGACGGACTGAGCGGGCCCCAGACATCTTGGCCGACAGGCTCCCTGGCTCCCGCGGCTGCCCAGTCTTCTCCAGAGCCCGCACACTGGGCAGGGGCAGGCTCCTGGTGGAAGCGAGGATGCAAGAGGACCTTCCCCTTGCCCGACCCCGGGAATTCAGCCATCTCCATCCCGTTCGCTACCACACGTCACATGGGGGCACATGTGTTGCCTTTTGGTTTTTTTCCCCGGGGGGGAGGGGGAGGGGGAGAATCTCCAGCCGACTCCGAGCTGAGCGCAGAGCCCGAGGCGGGGCTCGATCTCCCTACGCGGACATCACGAGCGGAGCATCAGTCGACGGTCGGAGGCTTACTGAGGCACCCAGGCGCCCCTCCTTCTGATCAGCCTTTTCTGGAGACGTCCAACTCTCGCCCTCACATCAGGCCCAGGCCAGCGCGGGTACGTTTGGACGACGAGGTGTGCTAACCGCAGCATCGGCGGTTCGCTCAGAACATCGGCTGTAGCCTGTTTCTCTTAAGTCCCATTCCTTTCTCCTTTTCCAGAACAAGGCCCCGTGTTTCCCGTTTGTCTTGAACACCGTGAAGGGAAGTGAGTGCTCCGCGGAACCCAGTCTGGGGATGGCGGCTGCACTCTGCGGTGTACACACATTGCATACCCCGTGTAATTTCCACACGTATGTGGGAGGTCACGGTCATCGGAACACTCTTGTTGGGAGCACCGCGAGCTCAGGGAGGTCAAACTGCGCCCGGCATTCAAGGCCTCCCCCGACTGGCCTCCCAGGGCACAACAGGAAAGACAAGGGCCTCCTCCCGGGCACACCTTCAGGAGGCAAGTGCTAGAACCCAAACGCCGCCAGCCTCAGCGGCGCTGCAACAGCGGCCAGCCTCGAAGACTCCCGCAGGCGGGGCCCGCCAGGAGGCCCGCCCCCTCCACCTGTCGGTCCGTTTCTGTTCCCGGCCGGGCGGTGCCGCTCACGTGACCACCCGGACCGGACCCGCTGGGGGCGGGGCGCGGGGGCTCGACCAGAGTGCGTCACGTGGCCCCGCGGGGCGGGGCCGAGCCCGTTGGCAGAGCCGGGAAGGCGGCGGCCACGGGTCTTCCCCGATGGCTGGACCTTGGGCGGGTTCCCGACTGGGGGAGGACGGTAAAACCGGCCTGGGTGGGGTGAAGGTTCGGTGCGCAGGGCTTCACCGACGCCGGTGAGTCCGGCCCTGCCGCCGCCGGGCCCGAACCTGCGCCCCGCGTCTGGGCCTCGGACGGTTCTGCCCGCTCGGCCCCGCCTCCCTCCGGCCCGGACTCGCGCACCAGCCGGCGCAGCCTGCCCGGTGCCCGCAGGGCTCCTGCGGCGGCCGTGCGTCGTCGCTCGACTTTGCCCTGCCCCTGTCGTTGCCGGCCATCCCGCCTGTGTGGTCCCTGAGGCCGGGCGTGGCTGCCCGGACATCTCTGCGCCGCCGGGGCGCACGGCGAGTGGATGGGGCGCTCCGTAACACGTGCTGCCTGTCTGACTGCTGGAAGGCCCGGCTAGGCCTCGCTGAACGGTGGTCCAGGCCCGGTGGACGCGGGAGCGCGCACCGAGGCCACCCGCTCCTCCGGCACGGAGCATGCGCGCGTTACTTAGTCTGTCTCCGGGCAGGGGGCCGGGCCTTCCCACCGCTCTCCTTGCCCGCCTCCCACCGTAGAGGCCCCAGAAGTCAGTGCGGCGCCGTAACTAGAGTTGACCATGCCGCTGCGTCTGGCCAGGGAGACTTAAGGGAAAGTCGACTAAGGGGCTCCTGGGAAACACATTCTGTTCCTGATGAGAGAGGAGAGCCCGAGAAGCTAACTTCTGCTTCCTGTCTCAGAGTGTGGTGTGAGATCGCAATGCCTGGAGCTGGTGCAGCCACATTCCACCCCTGAGGGAAAGGGCCCCGAGGGGAGATACTCGGGATACACTCCGAGTATCGGAGATACTAGCCCGAAGCCACTGAGGTAATACAGCCCCTAACCCTCTTTGGGGGTGTTGCTGTGTGATTAAAGAAAAAGCCCTTCTTTGTTTAAGCCAGTTATGCAGTGGCTTCCATACTTGCAAATAAAAGCATTCCTAACTAATACACCAAGGTAACAGATTGAAGTTTCTAGGAAGTCTTGTCTTCATGATGACTATAAGCACAATGAAACTAGACAATGTGCCATCTTGCTCAAAGGAAAAAGTGCTGTTGAAATATTTTATGCAAGACCCCAGTTCATATTGTAACATCCTTCTCAGTTACTTCGACCCCCTCTCGTCACCATGGCAGCCAGCATGTAGGAGTAAACAGCAGGGATGTGATCAGAGACCACGTGGGGCAACAAGCTTGCAAAGGCAGCCTGCACACCACCAACCTCACTCCACCCAGGCCTTTCAGAGACAGCCCACGAGGAGTGCACTCCAGGGATCTTCCCTTCCTGGCACCTTTACAGCAACCGCCCATTAGTGCGGGCAGAGTCCTCAATCCTGTCGAGAACGTCCCTCGTATCTAATGTCTAGGAAACACTGTGCCCTAAGATGAAAGAAATGCAGTGTCATTGGGTGAAAACTAGTCTTCATGAAGTCTCCAAAGAGTTCATTACATGCAGCCCGGAGTGCATTTGAAATCCCCTTTGACAGCACACTCTTAAATTGGACAGACCGCTGTGCTTATCCCAACCCCTCAGAGCCCCTCCGCTTTTAAGCATCCCAAGTGTGGAGAGCTAGCACCCAGGGAATGAGTCCCTCAGGGTCATTGTTTCAGGTGCCTGTCGAGATCCGGGGTTCCCTCTCTACAGTGCCCCCCCTTTTTTAACTCTTACAGAAAATTTCAAGCATACACCACGGTACAGAGAAGAGTATAATCATTCCTCATGCACCCACACCCACTTCAACAACCTTTGATGCCAGCCTTGTTTCATGTACTCTCCCCTCTCGGATTACTTTGAAGCAAATCCTAGACATTTTATGATTTCACCTATAAATATTTCAGTGTATGTCTCTAAAAGTTGACAATTACCTTAAAAATAACTACAATTATCATACCTTAAAGATTAAAAGTAATTCCTAATATCATTAAATATCCTGTCAATATTCAGATTTTCCTGATTGTCTCATAACTTCCTTTGCCAGTCAGGTTTGAAAATGACCCTACGTCCTGATTGGTTGATCTTTCTTTTAAGTCTCTTTGGATCTGTAAATTCCCCTCTACCTCATTTTATTTTTTAGGTATATTTGTTGGAGAGACTGGTTGTTTGTCCTGTAAAGTTTCTCACAGTCCGGATTTTGGTGATTACATTTCCACGGTGTTGTTCACCGTATTTCTTGTAAATTGGTAGTTATATCTAGAAGTTCGGTCAGATTCAGGTTCGATTTTTCTGGCAAGAACACAGCAGAGGCGGTGTGCTGCATTTCCCTAGAGGACTCCTAACGTCTGCTTCCTCTCTTTCTATGACGCTAGCAGCCACTGGTGATCACTGCCTGGATCCATGGTTTCACTAGAGGTTAAAACATGGGGATATTCTAATTCCCTCATTTCTTCATTTCTGAGCCGGAATTCTTCCAGAAGAAGTTACTCCCCCTCAGCTATGCGGTAATCCTGAGGTGCAGTTTAAATAGGAAAAGCAGACTATATGTTTGATTCTTTCCTGTACTTACTAGTTTTCAAAGTAATAAGTTGGTTCTGGCATTCTTCAAAGGTAAGCAATGCATTTCGGGGTTTGTTTTTTTTTTAACCCTTTTCTTTTTAGCGTGTCACTATGAATTTGTCAATTGAAATATGTTTTCATTTCACTTCATTGCTGCTGTCCTTACAGGAGCTAGAGGTCATCCATCTTTGGCCAGCGGGAGCCTCTTGGAATTCATTCTGAAGCCTTTTAGTAGGACCCTAGTTGTTTTTGAGAACTTCCTTGCCATTTGTGTGACAAGATGCCCCAAGTTCGGTTGGTACACTTCCTGCTTCGGCCCTGGAATCAGCCATTTGTCCAAGGAGCCCTGCTTTCAGGAGGCACAATCCAGGGGCTGGGAGAGGGGTCTACTTTTGATTCTAGGATAGAAGCCAGAGTTTTAGGACCCAAGAGGCAGGTCACACAGAAAAGAGCTACTCTGGGGATGCCTGGGTGCCTCGGGTCATGATCCCGGGGTCCTGGGATCGAGCCCCCCCTTGGGCTCCCTGCTCAGCGGGGAGCCTGCTTCTCGCTCAGCCTGATGCTCCCCTTGCTCGTGCTCTCTCACTATCTCTGCTGCTATCTCTGTCTCTCTCAAATAAATAAATAAAATCTTTAAAAAACGCACACACACAAAAGAGCTACTCTGTCCTTTGTTCCCTTTGTCTTTTGCCCAAGACAACGCTAACAACATTCAGATGTTACCAACACTGTGGGCGGCTGGTTCTCTTCCCTTTTACTCAGAAATCTGAGCCGTTTCTGACCAGCCCCTCGGTGACAGGGGACGGGGTGGAGGCAGCAGACTTGGAAACCCTTGCGGGCAGCTCAGCACCAAGCTCTGAGGGCAGCTGCTTCAAAGAGGATGTGACTGGATGGACAGGGGTCACTTCCAACCAAGCTCCCTTTCCTCATGGGAGGCAGGCTTAATGGTCCACTGCTTAGTAGGAATAGTAAGCACAATTTCTGGGCAAAGAGCAAATTCTCACAAGGATTCTGCAAACATGACGTGTTCTATGTCTGACAGCTGGGTAATTTATCTTTCTGGGAAAGCTACCTACAGGACTTGGAGAAATTTACTTAATAAAAAAAATAGATGACAGCCACAATTTTATAATTCCACTCTTTCCACAAGAGAGGGAGGCTCATCAATTATGATGAATGAGAGGGAGGGGCTTGGGGTGCTCCTCAGGTGGGATTTGACCAGGTCCTCCGAGCAGTTGTACTCCGGGGAAGTAGGATTTTGGGATGCCAGCATAAAACAACATTCGCTTCAGAAACAATGTATAGGAAATATTTATGGAGTCATGAACTCTTGCAAAGAATATAATGAGAAGTGAAAACTCTGAGAAAGTTTGAGAAAAAAATCCAATTCTCAGAAACGCGTGGAATAGTTAACATTGGGTTTTCTTCTCTCCTGTCAGGAAGAGGTTCAGAAGAATATTAAGTTCCCTTTGACCATCTTTTTAAAAAATAAACATGTAGCGTGTTTCGATGCCAAGAGCACATTGGGGAACAGAGTTGTAGACCCTGGCTCTGCCCCAGTCTGCCCTGAGATTCTGACCTGTCTGCACCGCTCCCATGCCCCTCTGCACAAAGCAGGGGACAGAGACTGGACTAAGTGCATGGGCCTCGCCGAGGAGAGCCCACGGCGTCCACCCACGGCAGGGCGGTCCCATTGACCACGATAATCTTAGAATTCTCTTTAGCCGTGTAACAGAACGAGGTAGTCATACGTGTAACCGGTGTGGAAAGATGTTCAAGCGATGTGAAGTTTAACAAAAAATGAGTGATGATGATCTTGTTTTGTGGGAAAAAAATAAAAACTATATGGTCTGCTCTTTCCAGGAAAAACACAAAACCCCGGATGACACACAGCAAACTGTTAACAGCAGTTACCTCTGAGGATTGGCTGTGTTGACTCATTATTTCTGTATTGCTGGAAGCCATTTAGGATGGGCACGTATTACTTTCGAAATTTAAAACACATTTTCATTTAAAAAGAGAGTCTGATCCTCTAGGTTTGGGTTGGAGCCCATGAATCTGAATTTTGGTGAATTTTTTTGTTCCCCAAGTGATTTCAGACCGACCACCTGAGCCAACGGGACAAAGTTGTGCCCGAGGTTCAGAGCGGTTAAGTCCTTGGAGTGAGTCACCCGGCTGGTAAATGACAGAGCCGGGATTACAGGCCCAGGCGTCTCAGCCCCGAGCCGGTGCATTTTCCGCTGCATCCGCCATCAAGGACATGAAATCGTTTCCTTACGAGGATCATCAAGGACTGCGTTTGTGGTTTAACGGTATCAAGTAGCTTCTCGTGGAAAAGGAGGCAGGGGGAAGGCATACCGGTAAGTTAACAGGGGCTCACCGCGCTCCAGGTCCCATGCGGAGCTCTGCTCACAGCATTACTTTTAATCCTACAGGAAGCCAGCCAAGAAGGTACTGTTTTCACCCCCATTCTACAGATGCTCAAACTGAGGCTCAGAGAGATGAAATAATGTTGCCCCAAATGAATCAAAGTTGGTGGTGGGATGGAACCCAGGTCTTCCTTCTGAAGAGAATCAGACAAAGAGCAGGGAAGTGGGGAGAAAGGGACAGAGAAGTGGGTGTGTTCCCCGAGCCTCCGTGGGGCTCCTGTTTCTCAGGGCTGTCATCAGCCCGCTTCGTGGGTCCTGGGGGCCTTCCCACCCAGCCCAGCATTGCTGGGCCGCCAGCCAGCCTCCCTCCCTCCCATAGTGCATTTCCTTTGCCTACATTGATAGGTATCCAGTTTCACCAAAGGTCCCCAACTCCTGGGTCTGGTTTTAATCAGGAGCTCCAGCTGAGCCCTGGAGCAATTGCCTGGCAGTCCTCCGCGAGGCCCAGATGGAGCCCAGCCACTTTCTCTCCCCAGAGGTCTCCTGGAGAAGGGCGCCTGATTTCGAGCACTGGGGCCTTGGGTGGTGGCCCTCTGGACACACCATTCAAGGCCCCTTCCTTTGGTCAGTGTCTCCAGAGGCTGGGCGAGGTGAGACTTCAGAAGATACTCAGGATCAGACCAACCGCCTCTCTTTACCAAGGTGGAGGGCTCACATTCCTCTGTGACTGTCCCACTGTTGTACAATTACAGATCTCACCTGCTTCTCCTCCTCCCCGCCCCTGGAAGGGCAGCGTGGCCACACCTGCTGTTCTCATGGAGCCTGTCTTAGGGCAGACGAGAGAGACAAGG